TCACTCCCATTGTCCCTCTGCTCAGGATGGCTGGGTGCACAGCAACTCTTGCAGGTATTTGTTTGCAAGAGGCACCTCAGCACTGTTCTTATGCTTTGGTTTGCTGTTAGGTACAATAATAAAAGTAGGATGTGTGAAGGATGCAGCTCTAAATTTGACAACACAATTCCTATACCTATCACTGAAATGAGCTCACTCTTCTCTTATGTGGCAAGCTGGCGGATGTGGGTTTCTGCTTTCTCATGTGCTATGTGCAGTTGATTTGTTTGTTCTCAGGTGTGAGGAACTTGAAGGAAAACAAAAGTCTTGAAAGATTTTCGATCAGATGATTCATAAAATGCAGGAAATAGTAAAATCTTGTGTACCTGTATCAAGGTTGAGATTGAAATACAGACTCCCTTAACCATGAAAAGCATTCAGGATAACTTCTTGTTGATAATTATGGCTTTGGCTTTTGTTTCTTTAGAATAACCTGGTGAAAGTTCACCATATATTCTTACTGAATGTCCTATACATCTTGTTCAAGCTAAAGAAGACAAAAACAATTGCCCCTGTTTATGAATACAGTATTTGGCTCTGTGAGTAAGGCTATAAACTTTTACATACATGTCAGGTAAAAAAACACCAATAAAGTAATAAATAGAGGGAGGACACAGGATATGAGTAAATGATAATTTAGACAAATGGAGGCAAGTAGCAAGGGGACAGTTAGTAAGCAAACATGCCATTTGTAGTAGGAATTGGTTCTTGACTGTGCATCAAGGAAGGGGAGGAAAGGTCATTAGATGGAGACACTAAACTCCAAACGAGACAAAATACTAAACAAATAGTTGCAGTGAAAAAAGCCTTCTGCATTGATGGGATGTTGTAAGATCTTTTAAACTGCAATATATTTAATTTTGTGATTCAGTTAGCTAAGCAACAACATTATGCCTTGGAAAGTGAATAATGCAAGAGGGCAGAATTGATCGTGAGGACACACTGAGGAACCACGTTTGGAGGAGATATCAAAATTGCCTCTAATGCTCATCCAAGGGCAGAGAAAAGACCACATTTAATTTCTGGCACTGAGAAGAAAGCACTGTCTGCACGTAGTTTGATTCTGTGTGATCCATGAGACCAGGATGGAGGCCGTTTGGTCAGGGATATAGTGAGTGTGCGCTCAGTGTGGAAGATGGAGTTCAGCAGAAAGCTGCAGTGCCAATGCCAGGGAAATCTGTAGGTGCCAGGGAAATTCCCACCACCTTCATTCTTGGAGATGAGATGAGCGATGCCATCCCAGGAATACTGTGACTCAAAGCGAAACACTTCCCCAGACTTCTAATTGAAAGCAGACTGACCTGACCATGGTAGCTATGGACAGAGCTGTAGCTGCTGTGAGCCCTGATCAAGAATGACAGACTGGGTGTAAAACCATGTTATGGACAAAAATCAGAAGGCAGGAAGGCTTGTTCATTGCACAGTGCAGACAGAAACAAGTGAGTCCCTGCTAAGGAGGGACTTGTGCAGGCAGGGTTGTAGCTCTGCAGAGCAAGTGCTCAGAGGGGGTTAACTGGGCTGTAGGGTGGCTTCAGGCTTTCTTTCCAGTGTTACTCTATAGAGGATTTGTCAGCTGAGAACCTGCAAACTCGTTCAAGAGGTCCCCAAAACTTCAGCTATGGGCGACTATGGGGAATTTCCTCCTCAGTAACTTTTGCATTTCCCAAAGTGCTGTTACCACTATTATTTTCAGATTGGAAATGTGAGTTAGTGAAGGAGGAAGCCAAAAACAAGTGAAATTTGCATTAACTTTTTTGTACCTAGTTATTCTCCCGCTAGTTTTATGAAACACCACCTCTTCTTTATGCATTTTATCTGTAATCTTGATACATTCAATACCTATGGCAAAAAGGATTTTGCTGTCAGCCTTTCCACTCTTTCCCTGAAAGAAAATCTTTTCTGTCAGCTATGCAAAAGGGGCTGATGAAATCCTGGAAGCCACTTGCAAGTATGTCTTATTACTGGACCTCTTGTCCACAAGGAATAAACATTACATTAGTAATGTTTTATCCCAGCATTTGCCCTCATTGAATTTCCTTTTCTAAAGTGAAAATAGAGAATAACAGCAGCAAAACAAATGAGCTAATTATTTTCTTTGCTGATGAGCAGTTTGGAAAAGTGGAAAGTGTAAACTTGTGCTCTTGAGAGAGCTGCAGAACATACCCAGGTCACACATCTCCATGCCTGCCCCTTCATGCTTTACCAAAGGACCAACATGAAGCATCTTCTCTGTAATGAATATCTTGTCAGGTTCCTGTCCATGAGTGGCCAGGGAGATAACCACTGTCCTCTCCCAGCCAAGGTGCGAACTCCTCACCTTGCATCCTGCCTGGGGATGCTGGTTATGTCCAAGGGGCAGCCACACTGGATTTGAGGATGCTTTGGAAAGTCCATCCCTCCCTAGGAGGTTTTGTTAACCTTTCTGCTGCTACAAGCCTTGAAACAGCAGGGATGGGGCTGAAACTCTTCAATACCTGCTTCTCCAGCATTCAGGCTCTGATGGTTTTCCATCAGAAGGGGCACAAAGGTCAGCTCAGCAGCTTTAGGGAACCCTCCTGTTGGCTTGCTGCCATCCTGGCTGTGGCTCAGTGCCCGTAGGAGCTGCTGCGTTCCACTCCTGTTCTTGAGACTCTTCCCTTTGTCACCCAACCCTTCCTCATACTTGCAAATGCTGCCTGGCTTCTACTTCTCCATTTTGTAGTCAGAAGAGATGGTCGTGTGACTGGTTTGCAGTTTAAAAATGAACCTCTTGAACTCTGCAGGGCCAGGGAGAGAAGGAAACAACAGGGAATTCTGGAGAACTTCAGTGACTAATCATAAAAAGTGCTTGAGAAATGTGTAACATCTGAGGATAATAAAGATGGGAAATGATATAAAGTGAGAAGCTGAGACCAGAGATCATCCATTTAATGAGAGGAGAAACAGGAAATCTTGGTTGAAGATCAGGCAATAACTGTTCTGGGTTCTCAAGCAACCCAAGAAAAAACCCAAAACCAAACCAGAAAACCAAACCAAAGGTAAAAATGGGAAGAGCAGCAAAGGCTGTACATATCATAGCTGTAAACTAGGATGGTCCAGGGAATCCAGCAACTGGAGCAGCTTTAGGATCAGGTAAATGGCTAACCACCAGTGAATAAGAATTAGGACTTGTTCTGTAGGCCCAAGGTGTGGAGTTGCTTACAAAGAAAACTGTCTTCCTATAATTTCCTCAAAATCTTCAGGGATGTTAAAAAACCCTCCCCAAAGTGCAAGATACTCAGATGATGTAATTCGTCTGGATTTCCTCAACAAGGTTTTTCTTGGCACAGTATAAGGGAAAAGAAATAGGAATAGGACTGGTCTCAGTACCAGCAAGAGAGAGAGGCTGTAGGAATAAGGGGCAGTACTCGAGGTGCCCCTTGGCAGTGTTTTGGGGTGTACAAAATTGCACCACAAAGAGGTGAGAGAGGACATGGACGAGATGGCAAGGGAAAAGTGCAGGAAACCCTCTGGGGTCAACAGCAGAGTACTCTGAACAGAAGAAAATGGAAAATATTTTATCTATTGCTGAAGTCTTATGGCTTGCAATTGTATTTCAGTAACTGAGTTAAGGAACCCTCAGCTGCAAAGGGCACAGCTAATCAGTGTAGGGAGCTGGCCAAAGCCGTCAAACAAAGGTGTAGCACCAAACAAACAGGGTATGGAAAAATACTGGAAACCATATCCTGTCACAGCAGAAATCAACTGGGGTTGCTGTGTTTGTTCTGCTTGCGTTAAGGGAGATAGCAGTGGGTTCAAAGAGGAGCACTGAAAGCCGTCAGTCATCAGGAGCGATTGCTCATGCAGGTAGAGATTAACTGAGGGGAACGGATTCAAGCCGCCTTTCCCATGGCCGGTCCTGTCTCTCCGTGCTGGCTCTGCCCATATCTGTCAGCCCAGTGAGGCGAAGTGGGGCACAGCCTGGGCATGGAGCACCCCATCCCACCCCTCCTGCCTTCCCTGTCATTTACTTCTTGTGTTCACAGAGTCGGTGTGCTCTGACGAAATGGGTGGTGCTCTGGGGACAGAGGCTTTGCCTTATCTTTCCGCAAGCTATTGCAAAACGTCAAGCTGCTGAGAAAGCGTGTAGCCTTGTTTGCAGAGTTTCTGCTCTGACAGCTCTGTTGTATCACGTCAGCAAGAGAAAACAGTAAATGTAATAGAAACAGTAGTTGTAATAAAAGGAAACTGCTATGGAGGGACTCTAGCAAAGGCTAACTCATTCAGATACAATGAAAGAATAAATATTTATACGCTTACATCAAAGTACAAATTATCTTCACCACCACCAAGACAAATTCCTTTTCTTAGGGACTTTGGCTTTGGCAGATGTCCTCTCACCAGTGCTCCTGTGCAAACCCAGTGTGCTGCTGCTTGCTGAGCAGGCGGGAGAGCACAGGGCTGCCTTCCCGGAGTGGCTGCAGCTGCAATGACAGTGCTTTGCAGCATCTGCATTCCCAGCTGCTTCATTTTTCTACAGCTTTCCATGACTTAGAGAACTGCTGAAGGGAAGGGTGCGCTGCTGGCAGAGCCGGGGTTGGACTGGCAGCAAAGCCTCCCCGTTGATCAGAAGCCAATGCAGCGTCACTGCCTTTCATTCCCTGTGTTCATGTACTAACTCTTAAGCACAAGGTCTGTATCTGTGGTAAAGCTGGGAGCTGTGGAATGTGTTCATGTTGCTGAACAGACCAGCTTGTTATGCTCCACAACGTCTGTGCGATGATTCTGTGCTCTCCCATCATACTGAGACCTCTCGAAGAGACTGAAACACGGATGAGCTTGGCTCCACCAGTGTCATACCTGGAGAGCAATGGAGTTAGCACAAACATAATCAAGCACCAAACCTGGGTATCCCAGGCTACACCAGCACAAACACTCACTGAGGACAGCCCAGCCCAGCCAGATATAGTGCTGCTTCTCATGCCAGGGGACACCTTTTCTTTGCTCAGAATAGTTTTTTTACTCATGGATAACCCGTGTTAGCTCATGCGGCACCAGACGAGCTCAGTATTACACCCTGTAATCTGCTCCATCTCCAGGCACGTATTTGAGGAAGTGTCTGGGACTCCCCTTCCACACGGGGCATCAATTTTTCCAGACAGATGAAAGTTAATGGCTACCATGATTCAGGCGAGTAATTCTTGTGAAACCAGCTCGGGGGATGTTGCCTAGCAAAACAAATTCTGTCAGCATAGTCCCATGCTGTGACGTGGTACCGAGTATGCCACACTATATATAAGAACCAGGAAGCAATCCAAGGGGATGGGCTCATTTTAGCTCTGCTGCAGACCATACACAGAATACAGTGATGCAGAAAACTATTCCTGGCTGCCTTTTCCAGCAAATGTAAGTATTTTTCCTTTTAAATTAAGTAAAAGCTAATACAACTTTATTACAGTCGGGATACTCAGTGGCAATCTGGGGTTCAGATTTGTTCCCCTCTTCTGTATATTGTTGACACAATTCCAGGAGGAATTTTAAAGGGAAGTACTTGGTTAAGAGCTGGAGGTATTTCCGTGTACCTCTCAGACTACAGTGGTGCACCAGTGACAAATGAGAAGTTATTATTAGCTGAAATTTATAAAGTGTCTCAGGAGAGCAATTTCTGTGGAGATAAAAACCAGTATGGCTGAATATGCAAAGTGCTGGTCCAGGAAACCTCTTGTGAGCCTGAACTGAGGTTTTGTCTGCATAAGGACTAAACATAAACTGTTTAGGTGTCACTGTCCATGCACAGTGATCCTCCTGCCGGTGACTGTAATGAATACCACAAGCAGATACTTCAAAACCTGTAAATAAACAGACAGATTGGCTTGGATTACTTTCTTCACCAATTCTGGCCATTCTGATAGGGTGGGAGCAGCTGCTCTGGAAACAGCCCCCTGTTCCCATTCCCACTCAGCCCCATCCCGGCATGATCCAGGCTGTGCATAGGAGGGACAGCCACCCTCCCTGCCTGTCCCTACCTGGGAGCAGGCAGAGGGAAGGGTACCCTCAAACCATCCTTAGAGCATGGCCAGCACTCCCTGCCCCCTGCCAAAGCCCTGTCCAAGGCTGCCCAGTGCTCAGAGGGTGTGCACTGCCAGATGCCAAACTGTGCTGGGGACCATTGGAGCACTCTCAAGACTGATGAGCAGAGCTCTAGCACCTGGGAACGCCTCCCAGCTCTGCTGAACTTACTAAAGCAGATGTATCCAAACAGCATTTGGGGCAAGCATCAGAAACTGGTATGCCCTTTTTCCTATCAAACATCTGCAACCACCTGTCTGTGATCTGTGAGCTTCTTCCTGATCCCTGCCCCTTGGTCCAGGGTGTCATCTGTTTTCCTACACTGTGCCCAGGTTCCTTAGGTAGCATGAAAAGCCTCTGCACCTCAGGATAACCTGTAGCCTGCTGATTGGGACACCCAGGAGAGATAAACATCTAAATCCCCTGTGGCGAAGGAGGAAATCAAACCTCGTTCTGCTACATTCTGGATGAGAGCTTTAGCCACAAAATTATAGTGTCAAAGGGGTGGAGAGAGGCAGGAGGGAGCCATGGCAATGCTCCTGTTTCCTGGGGCAGGTATGGCTTGAAAGGAAGGATACCACTGACACATCTCTAATAGATAGTAGGAAGGCATTTTCCATCCAGAAACTCCAGTTCCTTTCCAAAGTCCATTGGGGTGTTACGCAAAATGTTGGCAGCGTTAGGTAAAATGCTGATGTTTTCAAGAAGGGAAGACATGAAAAACACGCTGAGCTCCTTAGCATCCAGATGGGCTGCTTTGGGCCATCTCCTCTGGCTGTATCAGCTGCACAGCTTCCTTTTCTAGTGCTCATCATTAGAATCGCTTATGGGCTCATCACCAAGTCCTGGGGTGCAAGATAGGACCCAGTGCCCACAAGCTCAGAGAATGGCCGATACATTTTTGCTGTAATTCCAGCTATTAGTGTTTTCTTCCTTTCAAACCTCTAATGTAAAAAAAATAAATAAAAGGATGGAGAAAATGTATGAATGAGGCCCATTCTCTGGAGACATCTGGTTGTATCCACATGGCAAATTTCTGTTTGATTTAGTTTGTTTTCCAATGAAGTTTCAGTTTGACATTCTCCAGAGATGTAAAATCCCAAAGTTAATTTACTGCGCATTTTCCTCACTCATTCAGCTGCTCCAAGCAGCTTAGGTTTGTTTACTGCTCCTCATGTGGGGATCTCAGCCTCAAATTTAGCTGCAGCCCTGTGGCCCAGCATGTGGGTTTTCAGTGCACAGCAGCCTGAGCCAGGTTACATGTACTTGCCAGCATGTAATCCACAACAATTCACAGCAGTAATCAGTTGTAAAATGAGCAAAGATCTTTATCGAGGCATATAATTTCTCTCCTCAAAAATATGCTTAATGACAATAGACACAGAAATAGGCTGCAATAAAACAAATAATGATAGAACATTCTTCACGTACCTTTCCAGAGAAGTAGCTTGTTTGAATAACAAGATTCAACTGTCAACACCACAGCTTGGTTCTCTTCCACTTTTAGCTAGTGAGTTGTACAGGCTTTCACATTGTGGATTCAAATGGTTCCATTCCAATAAATATTAATTTCATTGATGCTATGTATAGAAACAAATGGTCAAACCAATACTCAGACATCAATGTTCAGAGGTTAAACCTCTTCTTCACCACTTCTTGCATCTTCAGCAGTGAGGCAAAGCCACTTCTTGGTAAGTGAGTATATACCAAAGGGGCCAGACCAGGACCAGTATCAAAGTCCCTTGAGTGCATGGAAAGAGCAGAAACCCTTGATTTCAGCAAGATTTTGCTTTCTAGGAAACCCTTGATTTCAGAAAGATTTTCTTTCTCTAGAAAATGCAGAATCATTTTCCCAGTTAATCATTGTGGAAAACTACAGCAAGACGAATTGTATCACAGCTCGGCTGATGTACAGGACTACAGTTTTCCTATCTCTTCCTCAAAGGATTCCACGAACAAGTTGGCTCAGATACTTAGAAAAAAAAAAGAGAAAAGGTGCGTGTGAATCTTGGATGAGTCAACCTGGTACAAATCGAGTCTCTACAAGCAATGGGAATCCCACCCTTAAAAAAGTTGGCTTGGTACTTTTCATGGGAATCACTCGGGTTTACCATTTTCCCATTGTCTCATCAAAATTAAAAAGCAGGTAAGGACTTAAGCAGCCATCTAGGCCTGCAGGGTGAGTGTACTGGAGAAGCTCTGTACAAACTCCAAGGTGCTCACATAAGTAATACCGAGAACTTGCATAAGGAGATAAGTGTGCAAATATGAATTGCTCCGTTTATTCACATCTCTGATCCCCTCAGTGTCCTTGAAACATTCTCAGCAACTGATGCCTTTCCTGAACAGTGGGCCTCTAAACTGGACACATGCTTCAGTCAAGACCTACCTTCTGCAGAATGAAACCAAAGACTCATCCCATGTGATCACAGGCGTTCCTCCTGTTTATTGCATTGCGAGATAGCATCTGCCTTCCCTGATACAGTTCCTGCTGACTCCACATGGGTGTTACCATCAACACAGTGTATTGATATCCACTTATGCCAGCATTGCTACCTGTGGCAGCCTTCCTCCTCCCCTGTCTTGCTCCCTCCTGCTGCTCACATGTTTGTTCTTCCTCTCACTCACTGTTAGGTAGGGACCTGTGCTTGTATGGATCTGAAACTGTAATTGCTGATCTGTGATAGCTGACTTAATAAGCAAACTTAATAAGCATGATCTCTATTCCTTATTGTAGTTAATGAAAGAGTACAAAATGTCAGATCTTTGCAGACTCCTACCTGATACATCATTCCTCTAATTTCTGATAATTAGCCCTTTCTTAGTATCCCATCCAGCTATGCACAACTTAATTGTAGTTCCATTTAGTCCACATTTCCTTAGCTTGCTCCTCTGTAAGAATGCCTCATAGAAAATTCATGATTTAACCAAGTTAGCCTTTTACTGGTCTCGTAACCTTATCCTACACAGGGATAGTTCACACTTGTACCTTCTGAATGCAACATTACACAAATTAAAGTAACACCTAAAAAATATCTGGGCACTTTACAAACTTCATTCCTGCTTAAGGTATGAGTATGTAAATGAAAGGACAGATCCTAAGCTGTTAGTCATCTCCAACCAATTCTTTATGTCATGCAAAGCTATAGTTGAAGTTGATGGATAGTTTGCAAGTATAGGAAATGAGTAGAGTCTTAGGATGCAACCCTGATTTATTAGATTACTTCAGCATGTTGATATGAAATGACTGTGATGCAAAATAGCTCAACTGAAGCTGCCCATTGGAATGTGAAGGACCCCCCCAGGCAGAAGCAGATTATTCAGGTACCTCCTTCCGCTGAATTTAAGGCAAAGGGACTGTTTGCAATCTTGTACAGGAGATAATGGTCAGATGAAGGTAACTTCCCACAGGTCTATAAACTATCCCTCAAATTCCAGGTCAGAACTCACAATTGGTTCATAAATATCCGACTGGATGCATTAGGAGATTCAACTGATCAGCAAACCGGAAATATAACAGTATAGCTCTCAGGTGGAAATGATAATATCTATATATATATCTATATATACTATCTCTAAAATCTATAGCTCTGTTAAGCCCAAGAAGGAAAATGATAGTGTCTGCCAAGAGACACCCCACCGGTGGGACAGCAAGTTGGTTTTAGGCTTTGTTAATGTTACTGAAGAAAAAGAAACTTAAACAGTACATTTTAGCAACAATGCTTGAAATGGCTTTTGGCTTTTAGTTTACTCCCAAAGAAATGTAGATATAAAATAAGAACATTAGAGAAATGCTTTAAATGGTGCCGTAGCTGAGGCTGAGCTCCTCCTGGACCAGTTTCCAGCCACATAGCAGCCTCGCAGCCCTAGGAAGCCCCACTCAGGCACTCAGATCCAAAAGCTCACAAGCACAGGGAGCTCCAGTGTGCATGGGGATGCTACCACCAACCACATCAAACCAGAGACCACATCCCTTTTTCAGCAAAACATAAAAAGCCCTGGGCCTCTGCAGCAAGCAGCTCTTTGCTTATGAAGCTGTAGGAGGGATTATGGAGCCCACCTTTTCCCCGGTAGCGCAGCATCTATACTTTACTGCCTATTTCCACAGTGTGCACAGGGATTCAATTTTATTTAGAAGCTACAGACAACATATGAATGTGTATGAAAGGTTGGGCTAATGACAGGAAAAGGAAATTAAATATGGCAATTCTCAACTACTGATTCAACTAGGACATCATTTGGGATAGCATTCCCTTTAGTTTATCACTTTGTGTTCCAGAATGAGTAATAAATATCTCATTTACCGTTCTACACAGCACAACTGGAAACAGTTTTCCTGCTGCAACACTAGAGAATGTATTCTTCATTCCCGAATTGATTCACAAAGGCAAGCTGAAAAAAACCTTGCATAATGAAAGTAGCCCCATTCTGAGCAATATTTTTCTGGTGTTAGTCCCGAGTCATTCCAGTTCCCTGCAGTGATCCCCATGTTAATTAGAATAAAATGCTATCACCTGGGTTTATATGAAATCTATTTAATAATTGATGCAGTCTGAGGATGTCACATACAGAACGCTTCTGGAGCTGCGTAACCAACCAATACCACAATAATGCTGGAGTGTGGCGGATGCCAGCATATGTCTGTACAAATGCAGGTACATAATAATTTGTCTGGAATCTATCCCACTAATTTTACATTTAATTACCCTTTTTATATGTATTCTAGGTGTTCCTCCCTTACGGGCATTTCTATGGAGAGAGACCACATGAAAGATCTCAGAAGATACCTGGTACTTAAATACATCCAATACCTTGTCCTGTCTTCTTCAAATGCTGTCAGCACATTTCTGGGCCTGCTGGGCAGTTTGTATGCAATAATCATCCTGCAGTCTGCAAAGGTTTCGTCAAAGTCCACTGCAGTTCTCATCTCGAGCCTAGCAAAGGCAGACGTGCTGGTTACTGTTAGCATCGTTTCTGAGATGCTTGTACGGACCTTGGGTGTCGGTATCTTATCTCCAGTGTTCACATCAGCTCTGCTGCAGAACCTCCTCAGTGCAAACACACACATCAGCTGCTTGCTGCTGAGCTGCGTTGCCTTTGAGGCTTATTTGATCACCTTCTTCGCCACAGAGTCTCGCCATTTCCGGACAGTGAAAAACGCCAGACTGACTTCCAGGATCATCTGGACCCTGGTGACTGCAGAGTGCGCCCTGTTCCAGGCAGATGACCTCCTGAAGGCCAGCAGCACTTCTGCTCTCCCCCACAGCCCATACGCCTTGTTGTTTCGCATCCCCAGCATGGCCGCAGCCCTTCTCAGATCCCTCAGTTACATCCTGGGGATTCTCTTAAGGATTGTCAATGTATACATCTACTACAAAATATTTTTTAGTGTGTCCAACAGATCTACACTAAAAACAAAGTAGTGGCTATTCCTCCGGGCAGCAGCACTGTGACACCCAACAGAAGACACTTCCATGCAGTTTCAAACTGTTGGTTTGAAAACTGCTCAATAACTAGCCCCAAGGCTCATGTTTCGGCACACCACGGAGTTTAAACCTTCCTGTTTCATGATGGTATTGAGCCTTGGCTATTCTGAAGAGCTTGGGGCTGAGGAGCCCCCTGGCACTGAAACACAGAAGAGTTGGGCTGTGGGTGCTTGTGTTGAGAGCCTTAGAGCACCACAGGTTTGCTTTGATTGTTTGTAATCTAGAGTTTATTCACTTTACAGGTGAAACAAATGACATTTCATAAATGGTTCTAGAAACTAAAGCAACCCAAGCATTTTTTGTATAAAATGGGTGCTTAGAGTCTTACTCAGGGATCTGCAGAGACAAGAGCTGCATGGTTGCATAGTGAAGACGTGATCTATGTCCTAAACCATCTCTAACTCATGTGACCCACCAGACTCAGCAGGTGGGACTGAGGGACAAGATGAGCACCAAGCTGATCTAGCCTAGCTGGATTTGTCTTGCAGGTGGCATCAGCCCTTCTGTGGGAATCTGCAGAACAGACACTGCCACACCTTGGTACATGCCTGGAGCTGTTATTGGGAGGTTGCTACCACAAAGTTGTAAATAGGTTATCTCACATCCCCCTTCAGATGTAAACCAGAGGTGGAAAACCAGAACGCAGTTGTTTGCTGCAGCCCTACAAGGCGGGAAGAGAATTTAATAAAACCCCATGTACTGTACCCAGAGGGGTCACCAGTGATTGCAGTGGCCATGGTTTTGGAGTCAGGGAAGTATGTGCTGTGGTTAGTGGTGCTGTTCCAGCTCACTTGGCAGTGGTGCACTAGACCAGGGCCATGGATGTCTCTCTGACTGCTGGGGCTCGTGTGGATGTATAACAGAGCTGTTACACAGCTGGTGATTCCTCTGGTCTCCTCAAAGCACTGTGAGGTTATCAGTAAAGTACTTCAGATACCTCAGACACTCCCCAACGCACAAGTGGATGTAGGCACTTACAACTACTCTTGTACTTTGCATGGGAGATGGCCTCCAGTTTCAGTAAAAGACTGATTTACAGATACTGAACTTCTGTTGTACTGCAGTCCAAAGTCCATAGAAGGTGGAAAGAAAAGTAAAGTAAGCCAAGCCTCCTTCCCTCCATGATGCTTTCAGGCCTTCAATACACCTTGCCAGCTTGAACATCACAATAACCTCTGCCTTTTTGAGAAGAGAAAGGATGTGGGGCACAAAACCCAAACTTGATGAATTTCAGCTCTAACCTTCCCTCCTTCAGCCTGCACTAGGTCCTCACTCTCAAACTGGTACCAGCAAATGCCTGACATGCTCCAGTGGTAGCAGTTGCTTGGCAGTTGGACTATTAGAGCTGAAAATTGGAGCTGTAACCTCTTTCCCAAGTGGCCTGTAGTCCAAAGTGATCCTTTGGACAGCACAAGAGCTGTCAAGTGATGATCATACTTCACAAACCCAAGGCAAACAACAAGCACAGAGGAATTTCCTGCTCTTTGCTCTGCTCGCCAGCCAGTGTCTGAATTTCGCAATCACACTGTTTGTAGTTGGTCTCAGAAGCGTTTTCCTCTTTCACCGGATGAACTTGACCGAAAGGCAACACCCAAGAAAGGGGCAGTGAAACCGGATGCACCCATCATGCTGCTGCGGGAGAACCTCCTCTCCCCCCGGCTGTCTTCATTGCAACCAGTCTAAATGACACTAAGCAGGGTTTTTACATGTCAGATAAAGTGAGCACCGTTTCAGTGAAGGGCAAATATCCCGGTCCCAGGAGCATGCATCTTACAGTGGGATCTCCAAAATCGCTCAAGTGCATTATTTCCTGACATGGACTTCAAAGAAAATATTTTTTACATGACTGTACCTGGTTTAATATCTCCAGAGTTGTCTTAGAGACTCTTCCTGCTTCCTTTCCTCCTTCTTTTGTGTTCCTTCATGATCCTTACTACACTGCCTGGGAAAAGGCTGAATTGTTGCTTGTCAAAAATCAATCAATACTAATGAGAATGTACTTGGCTGGCTCTAAGAGATGAAAATACTGAGCTCTTACCTGCAACTGCTAAAACCTCAAAAAATATTCTGACCTCTTTGACTGCAGCAATACACTTCAAAAATATGAATATTGTTATTATTGTCTGAATTCACGGGAGTTTTCTGCCCAAGTGCAGTTATTTATGATCAGTATCTCAGTGTTGGAGATGCTGTGGGCAATGCAAGGCCAGAAGCAAGTGAAGAGTGCATGGCAGTGCTTCTTATCAGACCGAAAGGCAACGCTGATAAGGGATGGTTATCCCATAAAAACAGACCAGAAATGTAATCAAGTCACTTAAAAAACCTTTGATGCACGTTGCCTAAACAAGGAGGATTCCTTCTGAAAGAAGGATGTCTAGTAACTTGATGCACTGTGGTACAGTGTTCTTTTTCTGGAAGCCACTTTCAGGAGAGATGAAATGCTGCTTGAAGTTCTGTTATTAATAAAACTTCTTTTTTTTTTTAAAGTGTGTGCATTAGTTATTACAAATGTGTAATTTTTCTGAGGATCTGCTACACTCCGGCTCCTATGGAAGCCCATGCAGATGGCTCAGTGCTCATGAATGGACCAGAACTGTGGTTGGTACACAAGGCATACAGGGTTTTTAATCTTTGAATTCACCCCTTGGCTTATGAATTTTTCTGCCTGATTATCCTGACAAATGCCTCTGCCCTCAGGACAATCCTTTTATTTAAGAAATTACTGAAAGAAAACAGTGAGCATGACTTGGCTTAAACAGCAGGCACATAAAAAGAATGGAGCCTACAGCAAAATACAGCAGGTATTTACTTGTATCTAGAGATGAGGATGCTGCATACTGCGGTGGAGCAGCACCAAGCTGTGTGTTTATGAGTGGGTCATACCGTGGGTCATACCTTCTTCTGCTCTCTTGCCTATGGTGACATGGGGACACAGAGCTTTTAGCAACTCTTTTAGTGAAGTACTGTATGGTTAATAGTTTGATATAGCTTTTTAACTAGTCCCTGTGCAAATGGGTCCCTGTGTAGCACTTTGGAAGCTCTCCTGGCTCCCAGTGGGTCATACGGGACGTGAGAGACCAAAAATGCTGCCTGAGTAGCAAGCAAAGTGAGATGCTGAGTGGGAAAGAAGGAAGGTGGGGTCATTTCTCAGGTTGTTGCTTAGTGTCCTTGCTCATAGGTCATTCCCCCATCTGGTTTGGGGGAGTTGGATCCCCATCAAGTCCTCCAGCTTTCCCAGGCAGGCAGACAGGTGATTACTGTGTAACAGCAACAGGAAGCCCTTTCCTGATCACTGTAGTTTGTTTTATTTTTAAAGGTTTAAGTCATTCTTTTTCTCTCTAGATATATTGGTAATGATTAATGAATCAGTTATTGCAGGGGATTCATCACCTGGATGCCTTCTCTGTGCCTAATAAAATTGCACAGCCACTTCAGCATCAGTCATTGTAGTATTTAAATCAAACCAACAGGGCTGTGGTGCAGAAAAGTGAGGGAACAGAGCACAAGACGACACTGACTTCTGAAGGTAGAGAGTCCATCAACTGTACTGAGATGCCAGCAAGGCGCCTGCAGTGCTTGAAAGCTGTCCTAACAACCCGGCTCCCCCATATGCAATGGCAAGGGAATGATTAACACTTTGCAGCCCTGGTTTGACAAAGATGGGGACAAAATGGAGTTACTAGAAGGTGTTGATTAGAGCTGGATATTGGTGATTAGGAGCATGGGCATCCTGAATGTGGTGAGCCTCATAGTCTCACACCACCAGGGCGCTCTCCTGCATATCAGGTTTTGAGCTCCACTGGAAACCGGGCAGTGTTCCTACATCTTCATGACAAAATAGAAGATTCTGTTACACTACTGGTTTTCAATGAAAAACCTTGACAGAAAATACCCTGCAGACAGCTCACCTGTGCCCTGCTGCACTGTGCCTTTCCTATTTGCCTTCTCAATCTTACCTCAAGACCTTTGGGATAGGACACATTTACAGAATGAGTTTATCTTACTGTCTTCCAGCACCAGGATATGTCTTTCAGCTGGGCTGTGAGGTTAAGCTTTGAATGACACCACACACTTGTTTCTAATGTCTTTTGGGCACCAAAGGCATTGTTATTCTAACATTCAGAAACAACCAAAATTCACATACTCTGGAAAAAGTGAATCATTTAATACAAGACACTGCACAAAATGATGACTAAACAGAGCTGAGACTCTCACACTGTGCAAGATGAGAGCTCAAGAAATTTCTTCTCAGTCCTGCATGACTCATTTCTGTAGAATGAATGAGCATTTTACTAACGGTAAGCAATCTAGCAACCAAAATGGTGTTAGTTTATGTTGCTCCTATAACACTCCCCATCAAAATGATGGTTATCAGCCAGACTAAACTTGCTATGAGTCCCAAAACGTTGTGTTGGGTACTTCTTCGTAACAGTTTTTATGTTCTGGGAAGTCACTGATGGAGATCTATGACAAAAATACTAATAAAACTAGGTTATCTATATAGCCTGGTAGGAAAAATCCTGGCTCTTTCCAGAGCTGGGTGACCTGTTCTCCTGCTGCTTGCTCTTGCACGTGCTAAGAACCACTGAACTCCCTGCTGACCTTTCCTATTCAAAACCTGAGGATTATGAACATAGAAACAAGTAATCCCATAGCCCTGTGACGGTTTAAAGCATCTTCTAACTACACATTCCTCTGAAAGGCAAATGAACCCCCAAAGAGTCTTCAACAATAAAAGCATAAAATAAAGAAAAATCCCCAAAGCCTAGGGGCTGTCCCCATTCCGCAATAGTAACCATGGACCCCCATAACCATGGCTGCTCCCATTACTTTGGTTGCTGTGTCTCCACCTTGATGGACTGGCAAGAAAAATCCCAGGAAGGTGGAAACCAGGCTGCTGGGGACTTCCTCAGGGGTCTGATTTGTCTCTGATTTCAGTGACTGTGAATCAGGTCTGGACTGGAGCTTAAGGCTCCCCCCATCTGACATAGTTTGAGGGAAGAGAGGTTACCAAGTTGCGTCACAGCCTCACCAAAGCTAAGACAGGCGGAAAATGCAATGTTAGGTATTACATTTGCTTAGCTGAGATGTACAGATAAGACGATTATCCTTTCACAGCCAAAGTTAGAAAGACTTTTATGAGCAAACTTTTAGACCACATTTGACTCCTTAGATGGCAGAGGGACACAGAGAAAACTCAAACGACAGAGAGATCTGTCAGCAATGACAGATTGCTGCATCAAGAAGTGCAGCATCTCTTGATCAGATCAAGCAAGCTGATGCATCCTTGTATCTCCTGTCCTAAATCTAAGCAGTGAAAGCAAATTACTGTTACACATCACCAGCAGTTTGTCCCTACCACTCCCAATTTTGGTCAGCTTCTCAAATGCAGAGAAAACTTACACAGGATGATAAAACAGATAAATAGAAAGCATTTCCTTTCCCCTGTCAGCAGAAAGCCCAGGAAGCTTGAAGATCCAGGGTCTACTCATGGTTTCAGTAAACAGCTCATGGTTGCTGAGAGGGGAGACCTTTCTCCTGTCACCCAGGGCTGAAGAGCTGCTTTGTGCACACCCTGCAGTGATGAGTTGAAACAAATCCCCAAGAGGCTGAAGTAACCTTTGGCTTTTCCCTGTGTTGGTACAACCTCTGCTGCACACAGCAGCCCACACTGTGAACCACCCACCG